CATTTATTTTCAGGAGTTTACTTTGGGAGAGCATAAAAACCTGGTTAGATAGTATCCTTATAGTTTGTTATCCAAGAGCTGTCTTTACTAGCATGACTGCTTTTGTGCTCGGGGTGGCTGTGGCTCACGAGGTAGGGCAAGTCGTCTTCTGACCAGTGGTGGTTCGACTCCCGGTCTCCCCACATGCCTAAGTGTCCCTGAACAAGACACTGAACCCTGAATTGCTCCCGATGGCTTGACTAGCGCCGTTGTGTGGCAGCCTTGTTGTCATTGGTGTGTGATTGGGTGAATGGTGTATGATCTCCTGTAAAGCGCTTTGGCCAGTGCAGCACACTGTGGAAAATGTGCTATATAAAATACAGTCCATTTACCATTTTATGATTAGTGTAAAGACAATGACTCCTCACTTTTGAATACCAGTAGCTTACACCATGGATTCACCTTCAGCTCAGAATAAAATCTAGACCTTTCTAACACTGTGACTCTGTGCATCAGTTCCCCTGGAATCAATTAATTATCTACTATTAATGTGATTGCTGTACAAAAGATGTGAAGCAATACATTTTGTAAGCAATCATTTTTTATATTGTGATTGGTCACACTGATGGAATATTCGAATTGATCCTATCAGAGATTGAATTTTTCTGAGTGACACTGATTGTAGTGCAACTTTAAAGACTTGAACATTATAAAACTGGATTAAATGCAGCTTAAAAGTTTTAGAATTTTTATATATAGTTAATGTGTTTGAACATAATTTCATTAACTATTTATTGTACATTTAAATACTGTATGTTTAAATGTGCAACTGAGAAAGATTTTGATATCATTATTACTGGATCAGACTATGATGTTAGGTCTTTAAATCAACTTGTGTCTTATCTGTTTAATGTGACCTGCTGCAGTCACCAGAATGTTCTCCCCATCAGCTTTCATCTGAGAAAATATATATACAGTAAAAAAATTAATGTAACAAACAGTTGTAACACTTTACCATCCATTAAGGAAATCCAAGTCTGCTAAGCAAATGGACATCAGATTACACAGAATAACAGTGTTTTGACTCTTTCTCTAACGCAGGCTTTTTCACTGCTGCATGTTTTATAAGATTAATGTGCATTAATGTTACATTGTTTGTAACTTCTCTGGATTAAATTGGCAGCTGTGCTCTTCATTTGCCTGTAGCCTTAGGGTACAGTCCATGTCTCTGGTATGATGCTGCAGCTTGTTTTCTCACGGGCACTCACAAACATGAGTCATATATCTGCTCTGAGGAGTGAGGATGCTGCCTGGAGGAGCCATGAGCAAGGACACAAGAGACCCAAGGTTTTAATTATACTGACATGTCCCTTTTTTAGAAATCAGTTGGTTATTGGAAACTTCAGATGAATGGCTGGAGGCAAAGACATCCCATGTTTCCTCGGTTCCTATCTCTTCATTTTTTTCATTGTATGAAATGTGGGCGGGACTACAGCAGAAGGAAAAGACGCAAGTTAAGGAAACATGGATGCACATAAGATTTGGGATGCATGTTTGGTGAATCATAACTCCTCTGACGATAGCTTTTAATAGTCATCATGCTAACTTAATTCAGACTTAATTGAACTGATATTCAGCTGTTCTGAAACCCAGAGTGTTCCACCTCAGGGGTCGTCATCAGAGTTTGTTGAACTTGCTTTCTGGAATAACTCCCTTGCTAATTACTTTTCATCTGAACCTACGGATGTATTTATGTGGGAGATTTTGTTCTGGCAGTCCCTATTGCACCTGCAGTAGTCAGCTAACACTTCCTCTGCCCCCTGACTGGCTGAACCCAACGAGCCGCTTCACAGTGTGTACCCTCTTTCATCCTCCCCTCTCCTCCCTTCTCACTCCACAGTACTTTTCATCCCTCAGTGGCCTCCGCTGTGTCTCTGCCAGTTCACTTTCTTTAGCACCTAAAAGGGGGTGAGCGAGGGCAATGGCAGGAGGCTTAACTGTCTATGCCAGCTGCAGTCAGCTCCATGGCCAAGGTGCTGTCTCATGGATAATGGAATTTCCTCAGTTTAGCAGTGGCTATATGAGAGCTTAACAACAAAAAGGACTTCATTTTCCTATAAGTGTAACCATGAGGATGTTCACACTAAGGCCCACATAAACATGCTTTATTGACACAGGAATCAGAGAGCGGGAGCACCCATTGGACTCAGGTGAACTGGATTCAGCCTGAAAACCGGTTTGGTCCCTCTCTGGTAGGTCTCACTCCAGCTCAGTAGTTATGACTGTGAATGAACTGTATTTACATACTGATAGAGAGAGATAGTTAAGCTAAGCTGCCATGTTGAAGACATCAGGGAATGAGGCTACTGCCAGGAGCTGGGAGTCAGGATCCTGGCAGGACAGTGCCCTGTAAAGCAGACCTATTGAGGAGGAGTTAATCAGAACCAGAGCTCTGGATGGAACCACTCACTAAATGCTTCAACCACACTATGCTGGTCCTGGATACTGGAGCTTTTGGTTCCCACCAAAACATAGCAGTGGGGGCTTGACCTTTCCACCATGTACAGCTCTTCAATACAATAGATCTGGTGGCAATTTATATTTATGTTCAGGGTGTGTATTGAACCATGCGCCATCAGCATCAGACACATGTACAACAGTGCTTTTATAGTGAACCACACGTGTTACTGAGTTGCTCCCAGTTGTTTGCTACATGTCCTAAGATACGTTGTTGGATGGCATAGTGGCTCTGTTCCATCCTGGATTGTTTTGTTCCATTATGCATGTGTGGGTGTCTGCTATGAGGTTAGCCCTGCTCCTCCTGAAGTCCCAGGGGTCCAGGTCTGCTTAATAATCACTTTTACAGCTCCTACACACTTTTAATCATCTTCCAAGCTGCTACAAAGTCACGTGTTGATAATTCTAAACAGGGAGATTTATGTAACCCAAAATCTTAATTCATAATAACTACAAAAAAAAAAACTATTTTGGAGAATAGGAAGAAACCTCAGGAAGAAAAACAGAAGAAGAAACAAAAAGGAAACTATGCAGAAATGCCTTTCTAGCCACTCTAAACCTCACTTTCAGCTTGTATATGTTTGTCACATGCCGGTGTGCATGCAAGGAACTGTAGGAGTGAATCAGTGTGTCTCTCTGTATCCGGTCGAGGCCAGAGGGCAGCAGGACTATTGGACATGGCCAGGAAGCCCCTGAACCTCCCCAGGATGTAGCTGTCAGCTGATCACCCTCTGGGAGGGGAAGGAGGAGACAAGGAGACAGGAGGGAAGAGGATGGGAGAGGAAGGGATATTGGCAGGTGTGGATGGGACAGGAGAGTGGGGTGGGGGTTCTTACTGGCTGACATTGACAATGGAAAGGTCTGTTATAGACATAAAAGAAGCCACACTACTCCCTGCCTCTCTCCTTCAGTCTCCCTCTTATTTTGGAAGAGCTGATTCACAGTTGTGCACACCTCCTGAAACAGAAAGATGTGTAACCTGTGCACGTCCTGTGTGCACATCTGTATTTTTTGTCTTTCCACTCAGGTTTATGAAGCAGTGAACCAGTGTCAACAAAACTAGTATACTGCGTATATTCAACACCAGCCCTTTTAAAGATGGACCACTCTTTTGCATAGTATTTATTGCAAGAGCTCATCATATAGGTTCCCATGTTACAGTCACTTCCTGCTGGTGTTTGCCTGTGTGCGGTACAGCTGGGTGACCTTTCACCTCTAACCCTCCCCATTCTCTCAGTCACCAAAGCAATGCAGGCACAGAACACCCTTCTCTTTTTTTCCCCACCACACAAACACAGTGAAATTATTCTGCATATGCTTGAAAAACAGGTCTCCAGGTCTGTTGCTCAGTGTCTTTTAACAGCCACTGAAGTTGACAGCCAATTGGTGGAGTGAAATAATCTCTCTCACAGTGTGACATGGTATCGACAGGAGACCGTAACCTAGTTTCTTTATGTGATATCTGAAAAAGAGCACAGTTCTTATGAGACAACCATCTGGGGAATTCCCTTTCATAATGTTTGATTACAGGCCTGCTGTATTACGTGAGTCTTTTTTTTCTGTGTATCACTATTTCATTCTGCTTGTTTTTATAATGCAGGTTAGAGCCAGTTTCTGTCTCTGTCCCTGTCCACCCAGCATGAATGGTATTTAGGAAACAGAGTACAGGAAAGGCAGAGCAGGCAGGGAAGAATAGAGGGATATCCCCTTACAGGGTTCCCTCCTTTTCCCTCCAGGATAGAGGGGGTGAGAACTTTGGGAAGGGTGGGGGGTTGGTAAATCACACCACCTGTCACCACATAGACACACAAACCTGTACGCACACACTCCAAAAAGCATTCATGAAAACAAATACAATTCTGTATGCCTCCACTCTGTGAGGCGTCTGCTGCTGAGAACTGTCCTCTTTCTTTGCCTTTGTGTATGGCTGTGTGTGGCGAGAGCCCCTCAGCTTAGCCCTGTGTGACTAATCTAAGGAGGATCAGTGCTGCCACATATTACACTAACCTGTGAAACAGTGGACCAGCCTGGGCTTTAGGGGGCTTAAGGTCTCATTTAATTACACTTCAGCAGAGAGGAAAAGTACAGTAACCAGCTCACACAAGCTGTTATTTGCATTGTGGTGAGATACATGCATGCAAGTGTTAAAGGGAAAAATGTTTTTTTTTTTTTTTGTCAAGAGGGACGGAGGTAGTGTAGTGCTTTAGTTTTCAGGCACTGTGTCAAAATTTCCGCAAACAAATATTATAGGGGCTCTGCTTTTACAGTCAGCACCTGTCCTCCAAGTGGCTGCAGCTGGGAACGTCCCTCCAGCAGGGCAAACAGCTCCTAATACATCCACCTGACAGCAGAGAATTAGACCTTTCACTGTGCTGTCGTGATGTGCTTTGCCTCATCTTAGGAAGTCATATTTTTCTTGGCCAAGAGGTATGTCTGTGATTCAAAATGCCAAGCTCTTATAATATAGGTGACACTTTGTTCGCTTTTCATATTGTCTTTCCAAGGTGCCACCAGGGACATCGGCTCAGCTCTGACGAGGATGTGCATGCGACATCGCAGCATTGAGGCAAAATTACGCCACTTCACCAAGTAAGTGTCACCTGTGTTTTTTTCCTCCACCACTGTAATTTTCTCTCTTCTCTTGCCTTAAGGGCATTATTGTGTTGCCTGGTCCCATCCAGATATATATAATTCCCCTTGTTTTCCCATTCACTCTCTCATGTTGTCTCCTTGTTGCCGCAGTGCTCTTATGGAAGGCCTGGTTACGCCGCTCCAGGACAAGTTAGAGGAATGGAAGAAGACAGCTAATCAGTTGGACAAAGACCATGCCAAAGGTGAATGACCACTAGATATAAACTACACATACACTGTAGTATGCAATGTATATAAGAGAGAAATTGGTAAGACTTTGACTCATTCTCCACAGAATACAAGCGGTCTCGTCAGGAAATCAAAAGGAAGTCATTAGATACCTTAAAGCTACAGAAAAAAGCAAGAAAAGGTGAGAACTTGATGATCTTGATCGGTGAACCTGTAATAAAAATCTGAGTTTGAGATTTTAAAGAATCTGCTTGTCTGCTGGCCCCTGGTCTTTAACAATGGTTCAGATTGACCTGGCGCCATCTAGAGTATACAGTGAGAAATGGCAACGCAGTCAAATCAAAATGCCTGGCATGCTTGCAGAGGCTCTTTTCCAGCTATGGATGACTTGTCAGTTTCTACCTTTTGAATCAAAGAAATGTTTGCCTTTTACTGGTGCTGCATGCATTAGCCCCTACTGCTGGTTGTAATGAATCTCATATTTACCTAGGGATCTTACGCTACTGGTATAGGATAGTCATAAACATATAGTATGCCCTGGTCTGATACAGCTAACACTGCCTGTTTTTCTGTTTCTCCTCCCCCTGCCTGTTCTTGCAACCTGTCCTCTGTTTCTCTCTGGCTATTTCCCCTGGCTATAGAGCTTCTAGGTATGTCTGCTGTGCTTTTCCTTGAATCAGAACATGATAAATTCCAGTAGACCCATAATCATTTTTAGATAAAACTGCCAATCAATTTTTCGCCAAATGTTACATGCAAAGATTGATAACCACTCTTAAATTGGTATGGTCGATATAACACTCCCACTGGTAGCTGTCAGGTTTAGCATGTAAGGAAGCCAAATGGCGTTTGTGGTGGACTCAATTATAAAACCAGACAAACTGATGTAGAGAAAGGTTCTTTTACTTGTTGCAACCAGACAACCAATACACAGTCCAGGATAACAATCAGGTCGATAAGACAGTCCAGGGTCAGTGTCGGTAAACAGGTATAGCCAGGAGATCCAAACTCGAGACGTCAAGGGGAATAAATCAGAAGGTCGGTACACTGCAGGCAATCAGAAGCTGGGAGGGCATAGGCAAAATACGATGGTCAAAAACAGTAATCCAAGGTCAGATACAGAGAGTCAGGCAAGGTATAAATGCTGGAGAGTTAGAGCTGGAGTCTAGAACAATCTCCTTGTGGGAGGACGCTGCCTAAATAGAGGTGTAAACAGGTGTAAACTATTGCGAGTGATGAAGAAAGTAAAAAGACTGAAACTGTGGTGAAACAAAACAGGAAGTAACATCAAAATAAAAGCCAGACAGGAAGCAGCGGAACCGAATCATGATAGTAGCTGGCTAGCTTAGCTTTGCACAAAGACTAGAAACAGGGAAACAGCTAGCCTGGGTCTGTCGAAACAAAATCTACCTCCTTGCATATGATAGATAATAGAAAACCGCTTAGTGGCGCAGATTATTTTCTTTCCAAGTGCTTGTGCCGCCCCTCACATGTCATGAAAAAATGTCGCCCTGGGCAGCTGCCCGGTTCGCCCATGCCTAAAGTCGTCACTGGTGTAAGTGAATAGGCCTTTTTCACAGCAGACATTTACATTTGTCAAAGTAGGAAAAACATTAAAGATGCTGTGCCTAATTTCTTTTCAGCCACTAGAGGGTCTAGTGAGACTAAAAACAAACTGACAGCATAAGCTGCTTCTAAACGGTCTTTGCCCCTGCTATCATGTCCTGTTTCTTAGCAACGACATAAACCATGGAAGTCTGGTTCTGATTAACTGTACAGAATTTGACTTCCAGTCCAAAGCTAGCATTAGCTGTCTAACAAGTAAATCTGGCAATCACGCCCTCATTACTGCTAATCTGACTAATGTTATACAAAGCTTGCATTGCAAGCGCACCACATATGATTCAAATTCGAGTTCTTTGGCTGCTTTTAACACTATCCTCAAAAAGTTTAACTCATGTTAACCCTGCTCTTTCTCTGTCCTACTTTCTCTGTGCAAAAGAGCGTGACCTCTTCAATCTAGCAGTCACTGTTTCAAACTTTTAGCTGACAAGAGGTCCTCCACGCCTGGCGGTTTGAAAACTCCTTCTTATAATGTTCACTGGGTGGCAGGCAGAGCTAATTTAGAGCCCATAACTTGAAAACACAGTTTAGAGAAGCTGGTATAACAGCAGAACTGCAGTAGATGGCAGACTGTCATGGAGGGGGTTAGTATAGTTGAGACACACCACACCCTGCCCCATTGTCACTTGATTCATCAGACAATTAGTAAAATCTGCTCTGTTCTAAGTGTCCAAGTAACGTTTGTTAGCCCATTAGTCTTGTCTTTTGCATACACACACTTTGCCAGACACATTTCAGATATGCCCCCTCCATTTTCCAAACACCTTTCTAACAGAGTAAGAAACTGACATTTTTGGCAAGTTATCAGTAAGACAATATCTCATTCCACTGGATAACAACAGCTTAGTTGTAATGAGCTGACATTTTGCTCCATGATGACAGCTAAATATTCTGATAAAGGCCTAAACTTCATTTTTAAGGACATATTAATTGGCTTGCTGTCAGATCCTAATGTAACATTTAATTAGTTCTTAATTAGATGCAGGTGTGCTGAAAGATTAGCCAGTTAAGCTCCTACGTGGTAAACATATAGACAGCTGTAAGACATATACAGTGTGGGGTATACAAACAACTAGAGCACTGTTAGAATGATTATTATCACCAATTGCTTAACAACGTAGCAAGACA